TTAAAGGCCACATTATTTACTAAAATGTCCTAAAAACACTTGATCAGTTCTTTTAGATGAATGATTATAAGAAACCGTTAGCTGTGTTTTAGTAACACAACCTTTTGTATCGCTGATTTTACTTTACTTGGACAGAAGTTCTGCCTGCAATGCAATGTAGGAAGATTTGTTCATGTTTATATTCATATTTGACAAATGTATCCCCTGTATGATGGTACATTGTTTGTTTGTTTGTGCATGTATCTAATCCATAGTTAGCAAAATATCTTCCAAACACTCTTTTCCTTTCTTTGGATTGTGGATTTCCTCTTTTATTCCTCACCCTGGAGTCACACTACACACTTTAAAGAGCCTTCAACATGCTGGTCTCACTCTGCTGTTCAAAGAAATGTGAAGGACGCATTAGGTACGGCCAACCAGTCAGATGTTAGGGGGCAATAAACAGCTGTGCTATTAACACTCCTGCACACACACACACACACACACACACACACACACACACAGCACTGGTCTATTTAGTCACTATCGTTCTGTATAGTTGTCCTCAAAATCTGTTTAGAACACAGTCTCAGCTCTTCGGGGACTGAATTGGCCACTTGTACGCTCAGCACAGCGAAGAGTGAAACAAATAATGACTCTGGTTTTGTCAAGCAAGCAAATCTTTCAAAACTGGGACAAAAACATTTCCCCACGGTCGCATGCAAATATCTCAGAAGGAGCAAACAGTGTATTTGTATGGTTTTCATGCGCTCTGCCAAATATCAGATTTAGGAACATGTCAGCTTTGTGTCAGAAGAGCACTGCGGAAATAAAGCTTATTAACCCCTTCCATGCCGGAGGTCCCTGTACTGGGAGCAGGGCACAGAAACACTGGTGCTTTTTAATGGTTCCAGTGGAGAGGTCGCCAATGTAATACCATGACTAAACTAGATGTTTGTTGTGCTTCATTTCTGTTGCATCAAATTAAGCAAAGTTGCAGTCGAGCATTACGAGAACTTATCTGATAGCATCACTCTCTGCTGATGTGTTGTTATGAGGTTTAGGAGAAGCAAGAATCTAAAATGGATAAAACCAAATCTTGTTCTGTGGAAAATGTCAGCATCTGATAAGCAGCAGTGGAATCTGATAAACCAAGTGGGAGGAAATAAAGTCTGAGCTGAAGCCCTGATTCATCCGTGAGATCTTAAATCTGCGTAAAGTCTCGCTCTGATGGGATTTCTCAGATCAAACTCTGACCAGATGGAGGTCAGCTGTCGAACATGGATCCATATGGGGGTGGGGGGTTCTTGATCTAAATTGTTGGCACTCTCTGCAGCTGCACCACGCAGTCGATCCTCAACCCGGTCCAGAATATGTGCCACTGGCTCATGTTACTGTTTAACCTTCAGAGCTCGAGGCCAGACGGATTAATTGACTGCTACTGAATTGAAGCCAAAATCAGTCCGGGATCGAACCTGCGCTGCTTACCTGGAATAAAGCCATCCTGCCACAGCAACACGCTGCCAGAAAAACAACTGAAAAGATATAATATGCAGATCACTCACAAACAAATTACTGTCTGCTGAGGCAGGATGCTGATATCTTCTTGTGTTTTTTTATGCAACATGCAGGTTGTGTTGACTCCCCGCGAGGTGACATGCTGTGATTGGCCCGCCGGGGCTTCTTCGCCTCACCTCAACACTTTGTGCTTTTTCATGTTTCCTCCTCGGTTTTTATCTTTCCACTATGTAAATAACATTCAACCTAAACCTGATCCATATTGTGAACAAATTGCTATCTGCCGGATGCAGCGATGAGGGGCGGCGGTTCAGGAGTATCTATGGTAATTCTCTCTCTGGTGGTTCCTTTGTTCTCGGCCGTTTCTTGTCGTCTCCTGTCGTCCCTCCTTATAGGTATCTCGTTAGAAGAAAAGGTGGCAGGGAGCGCAATCAGGCTCTCCTTTCAATGCGTCCGCATGAAGCCTCGCCTCATCAAACAAAATGAGTGCGCCCTCGCCGCGCTTCACTGGGAATTTTCAATACCGCTGGTTATGAAGTATTAATAGCACTGTTCCTGACAAGTCAGATCCCCGTTTCTATCTCTCTCTCCTCCCCGTCCTCTGCCCTTTCATTCTCTTTCACTCTTTCTTTGTTTCTCCCTTCAAACTGCCTGTTTCTCTGTCCCAATTTTCCTTTCTCCCCTTTGTCGCACTGCACCTTTGTACTGTCTCTCCCTCTTTATTTTAAATCTGTCAGTTCCTGTTGCAGCTCTTTTATTTCCTCTCTCTTTCTTTATGCATCTCTTGCTGCGTGTCACATGAGAGGGGACACTTTAGGAGGGGAATCTTTTCTGTGTCACTTCCGACACATCCTAAAACTGCTTTACATCTGCCATTCTCCGGATTCTTTCATCGCAGCGTACACAACAGGAGCGCGCGCAATTATACTTAAGTTGGTCCAAATGGCAGCGTGAGTTTCTTGCGCTGCTCTCTAATCTTTACAGAGAACTAAACCCTCCCCCTTGTCACTCATTTAAATGCTGTTTTCATTTGTTTCGTTTTGATCCGCAAAACAGTTTGTCCCGCGCTTACATAATCTCTCCATGCATGCGGTGGAGGCTTTTAATCAAAATACATATAAACAGTGTGACGCGAGAGCCGCCTCGAAAATAAAAGGAACTAGCTCGTGTCAAATACCGTTGATGCACCTGGGTTTTCCTATGAGCTCACTCTAACTGGTTGGACTGGAGAGGTGGGTGACTTCTGTCTTTGGTTGACAGAACGTTAGTCTAATTTTTCTGTTTGTTAAAGTGTGTAGTGATTCCAAATGTGCAAAAATGGGCCCTAAGTTTTAAATCTGGTGAGCAAAGCTTTTGCCAACAACACAAGTCCTGCATTAGTTGCAAATGGATCCATTCATGGTCAGCGATCACTAAAAACAAGCACATTCAATAAACTGTTAGAATGGAAACGGACAACAATACAGTTTTATTTAGTGGGATGGAATTTAGTTTGTGGTGTTTATAGAACAGAAGAGTGACTAAATATTAGGCAAGCTTAAAAAAAATAAGCTTTACGGGAGTTTGTGTAGTGTTTGAACGGCTGTCATTCGTTGCAAGTATTTCAGCACAATGTGAAAATCCAGTTGTGTAACTTTACAAAGTGGACATTAAGTTTGCTGATGTTGTGGTAAATTAATGAGATTTAAGTGCAGATGGATTAAAAAGATCAGCACTACCCTACACCACAACAATGCAGGGGGGTGAAAGAAATTAAAATCAACCATTGATTTTTTTTCTTTAGCTGCATTTCAGATGTATTCCAGTTTCTAAAAGTGATGCTTCATTTACCTCCCTGTTTGTCTCTTCATCACTGCATCTCTTGAGCTCTTTCCCAGCTGCCTTGTTGCTTCTTCCTTTATCTGTTGTCTTGTGTTTATGACCCATGTGTCTTTAAAATTTAACTCTCCACACTATTTTCTTCATCACCTCCCATCTACTGTCTCACTTTCTTGCCCTCTTACTGTTATTTACCTCTTTATACGAGTGTTTATTGGGTCTCTCCTTAGCCGTCTATCCCACTTGACTTCTCTTTCTCATATCTGTAAATCTAAAACTGTGATATTCAATCAAAATTACTTCATTGAACATGTCTAATTTAGAAATAAATGATTTGCAGTAACTACATTCTGTAAAAAAAACACAAATTCGGTGCTCTTTAGTGTAACCATGAAACCACGGCCGACTCAGCTGTGACCAACGGTCACGTTATAAAAATTCAGGGACTTTTTTTCACTGAGCTGAGCTGCTTTCTGTATCTACACAGAGCAATTAGTAGACGAGTATGGAAGAAAGATTAGAAAACTGTAAACCAGCTATAATATGTACAGTCACTATGTTGTTCCTCAGTATTGGTGGCATTTGAATATGTTGATTCCAGGTTGTTTCAAGCTTTAAAAAACAAAAAAAAAAGCGCAAAAATTTTTCAGTTTAGGCATTCATCCTTGGTCACGCTGCACAAAGCAATATTTGCGTTCTCTCTACTTCTAGTCATAGCTGTGATGCTTCCAAAGAGGTGCAGGACTTTATATTGAAGAGAAAAATAACCGGCAATGAGTGAACAAATAAATGCAAGAAGCTATTTGGGGTTCAGCAGGTTAATACTTTATCTTTCTACCTCTTCTTGTCTTTGCATTGCCGCCTCCCTGCTATATCACCTTCCTGTCCTTCATGTCCTACATGTCTAACTATTACGTGTCCATCTCTACTTTCACCTCCATCACTCTCTTTTTGCAAGTCACCTTCTGAGACCTCTCAAAGTTTCCACCAGATGAGATCAAAGTACCTGCTCGGCTTGCCTTCGAACCGGTACACTTTCTCACTCCAGTCATCAAGGTCGGGGGATTGAACTTGTCCAAGCACCGTTGTCGGGAGAATACCTGTCAGGAGACAGCGAGTGAAAGACACAAAAAAAAGTCAAAAAATGCATTAGCTTTGAGAGGAATTAGTCTTGAGCACAAGGGATCCCTGCGGTACAACCGAAATATTAAGAGTGAAGGGAAGAGAGTGGAGGCTTCTTTAAGGAGATAAGGTGACGGGCGACGCCTCATTGGCACGCATGGTCATGGTTTGAGTGCACAGCAGGAGGATGTGCACACATTAGAATCGCTCACGCAGTGTTTTTTTTCCCCCCTCTCCCAAAAAAAAAAAAAAAAAAGCTGAACACAGCGCTGTAATCTCTTTAGCCGTGAAATCAGCTGCCTTTTAAAAAATGCCTCCTGTTTATGTGCCCGTCAAACCTGGGACTTAAGCTGGAGTTAATTGTTTGCTTCATGGCATGATGTTGAGGTACGTGATGGATTCGTATTAGCAGGTTAATGTACTTTCATGTGGAAAGGCCCCGGAGAGGGAATCCACTAAAAATACATTACAGAAAACCTTAGTTTTTCCAGCAAATTACAGCAGGCTGACAGATGGTATGAAACGCTAAATAAGTGATGTAGGCTGGAGCGGGAGGCTGTGAGCAGTCGACTGTGACAAGTACAGTCTTAACAACATGAGCACAGAGCACTCAGGAGGCGATGGGAGGGACACCGGTGGACCCGAAGGTTAGAGGAGCCTGTCTGTGATCAGAGAAACACCAGTTTGCATATCTGAGGCCGGCTGTTGAACTCTGAACTGGGACAATAAATTACGAGTGAATGACAAATGTTCCATTCTCCGTCTACAACTACCATGAGGATGCCCTCGAGCAAGGATGCCTCACCTCGACGTCTCCGCTGGAGTAAAAAGCACGAGCTTGCACTGTGAGGCTTTCAGGTGTGAAATGGAAAAAAAAAATGTTCCTGGATAAATGAAGGTTACCACAGAATACAAAAAATACACTAAAAAATAATGTTAAAGTAGCAGAAAAATATGAAAGAACAGCTAAAATGTATAGGAGTGAGCAGGTTGGGAAAAAACAACATTAATTCAGGTTTGATCAGTGTGAAGCTACTTTACAAGTATTTTGCATCGGTTCACTTTCATCCCCTTTAGTACACTAAATCTACTAAATCACAGGAAAGCCCGGGGCCCATTTCACAAAAGCGATTTGCAGGTACTGCTCACATCGAAAATGGTGGCAGCGTCACGTTTCACAAATGCAAATTATAGCTGCGTTTGCGGATCCTACAGGGCTCTTGCATGCTCGTGTCTTGTATGCTGCTTGTTTTGATGAGCGAAAACGTCTGATGTTTGATTTGCAGCTTGCATGTTGCACATTTAGGAAAGCAGACCCCTGTTTGTTTGATTGTGCCTGTTGGAGGACGGCTATACTGAGTGGAAGAAATTCAGTAAAAACGTTCGCCCCGTTTTTGATCCAGTGTGGTCATTATACGAGGATGCAAAATATTTCTGAGGCTGATTTTTGTTGGTGTTACGTCTATTTTTAAAAACATTATCTGGCAACTTTACACTTGTAAAGGAATAAAAATTTTTAGAAGGATAATAAAGGACAAGGAATCGGTGAAAATTAAAGACAATTCTACATTTCATATATTCAGAACCATTCATCGTTATAGGCTGCATGCTTCAAGTATATGTTGGACAAAAACTTGGCAACTCCATTACCTTTGCACCTAAAAATATTGGCTAAAAATTAAGTTTAGGTGCCACAAAAGATTAAGAGACTTGTATTTTGTAGTGCTATCCGAGTCTCTGGTGAGCAATTATTACGAAGAAATATTAGGCTGACATTGGAATCTATTAAACTTTGGGTTGCTAAATGTTAAATATGAAGCATGCTGATCCTCTACAGTCCTTTATTGTCCATGAATTTAGTGCCAAAAACTGGACGAACATACCCTCATAACTGTAGACAATAAAGTTGGTGTGTCCCGGTGAGTGCGGGTGGTCGTTCCTGTCGCCGATGACGACCGTTAGCGTGCTGGTGGAGCTCATCGGGGGAGACCCGCTGTCAATCATGAGAATCGGGAGGCGGTACTCCTTCTGGCGTTCGCGGTCGAAGGTGCGGAGGGCGGTGACGGCTGCGCTGCCGTTCCGGAAGTCGGTCAGGTTGAAGTTGGTGGCGTCCGAGGTGAGCATGAGGAGCCGTATGGAGAACGGGCCGCCGTTGGTGGACGTGTCGCGGTCGGTGGCGTGAAGGAGCAGCGAGGTTTCGTTCATTCGTACCGGCTCCGGGGCCGCTGTGTTCTCCCAAACAACAGGCTTGTAGGTGACCTCGAACTCCGGGCCGTTGTCGTTAACGTCAAGTACAGTCACCATGACGATGGCCGTGCCGGTCAGGGGTGGACTCCCGGCGTCCGTCGCGAGGACCATGATCCTGTGCTGCGAGATCTTCTCCCTGTCCAGAGAATCGGCCACCACCACCCAGCCGGACTGGTCCACTAGGAACTGACTGTAGGGGTCGGACTCTTTGGAAATACTGTAAGAAAAGCGTCCATTTTGGCCCGAGTCGAGATCAGAGGCTGTAACCTGAGCAACAATTGTCCCCACAGGTACATCTTCAGACAAGGCTGGTGACTCATAGAACTGTGGGAAGAAGACGGGAGCATGATCATTGGAGTCTTCCACCTGAACCAGACAGTGGGCCAGGCTGAAGAAATCCGCATCTTCGGCCTTCAGGGTCAGATTAAAGGTCCTCTCGTGGGGTTTCTCGAAGTCGACCTTCTTCTTGAGCTTTATGACGCCACGTCGATTCACTTTGTCTGTCTCTACGAAGAACTTCCTGTCCTCGTCGCCGCCCACGATGCTGAAGGTTACCACAGCGTTCTCGCCCTCGTCTCCGTCCGTTGCAGAAACTACAAGAACTTCGCTATTGACTTCGAGGTCCTCAGTCACCTGATACACACAGAAGTCCATGATTCATCATTAGTATGACGACTTGTGATGCTGAAAGAAAGCCAGAGATGTATTTAGACTGGTTGACTCACCTGCGTCGTGTAGACCCTCTGAGTGAAGACAGGTGGGTGGTCATTGACATCTGAAATCATAATGGTGGCCGTCCCTGTCCCGGCCAAATCCCCTCCATCTCTGGCCTCCACCACCACCAGATACCGGTCCTCCACCTCCCGGTCCAGGGAACGTAGCACTGTGTAGATGGTCCCTGTTGAGGCGTTGATGGAGAACAGGTTGAGGTTGATCTCGTTGCGAATGTTCTTGATGATGCTGTAGGTGAGCATGGCGTTCTTCCCCTCGTTGGGGTCATCCAGGTCCATGGCACGCATCTCCATGACGGAGGTATCGGCAGGTGAATTTTCAGGCACTTGGCCGACGAAACATCCGTCTACTTCCAGCGCCGGGCACGGGAAGAAGGGGGCGTTGTCGTTGATGTCTCGGACTTCTAACAGCACATCGGCAAACCCCGTGAGCCCCGCCCCTCCCTCGTCTGTGGCGAGGACGAGGAATCTCCAGGCAGGACGCTCCTCGCGGTCCAGGCGGCGTTGAGCGTAGATTCTCCCAGTGCGCTCGTCAATGGTGAACTCGCCACCAGCACCCTGGCCATGGAGGGAGTAGCGGAGAGCGGTTTGGTCGGCTTCCTGATCTGGATCTGTGGCCGACACCTGCAAAAATGACAAAAGTCAAAATAATATAATAAATTCAGATTCGTGGGCCACTTGGGTCATCAGCTGGTGATCTGAACTACAAATAGAAAACTCTTAAAGAACATATAGCAGCACAGATATCATGAAATGCATTTAGAAACATGGATACACCAGATGGGATATATGACGATCTTTAGAACAAGATTAAAAAACATTCTTCAGCCATTCAGATCCAAGCCCCGAGTGGATCTCAGTGGGAAGTCGAACTTCTTAAGGACCGTAAGATTTGTTACTGAAGGACTTTAGTTGAAGAAGTATTACGATCCTTTTCTTATGTTAATGTACCAAAACAATGATGTAGAAATATTCTGTCATGTGTAAAAGTCCTGCATGTGAAATCTCACTTCAGTAAAAGTAAATGTATATTAGCAGCAAAATGCATTAAAGGTATTAAAGTTAAAGTACATGTTTTGTTCTGGTGACAGATATATTATTACACCGAACATCATTAGATACTTAATACTAAGTGATTAAACAGCGTGTTAGCGTTGTAGCTGCTGGAGGTGGAGCTGGTTTTGACTACTTCACATAGAGTTTCATAGACGGGAAAAGCAGATCAATCTGAGGGGTCTTATTGTAAATAATGGGAAAGAAGAAAAACCCTTGTGACACACTAATCTCTATTTAGGTTTTGGACTTTCATACAGTCATGACTCGATAATCCGACACTAAAAGTAAAACCTTCTTCTATGTCGGATAGCAAGGCTGTCAGATTGTCAAGACGGAGGTCGAGATACAAGGAGGGTTTGATGCTGGAAGGCTCATTTGTTGTTAATATTTATCGCTTACAGTTGTTATAACAACTCGTGTATTGTTAGAACACTACGCATCGGTGGATTTCACGCCTAATTGACCGGTGCGCTTGTGCACGTTCCGGCCACTTCCACCCGAGAGAGCGCTCCACCGTTACCATCCATGTTCACTTCCATAAACACTGAGCACGCTCGCTGCGTGTGACGTCGTCGTGTCCTCTTCTGCGCATGCGGGACACTTTTGGGTCGTATGAAGTTCACACAGCAGATCACATACAAGTCGTATTTAATTGGAAATGTGAACGAACTTGCAAAAAATCTGTTTTACAAAAAAAAGCATTAAGTCCTGCAGTGTGAACGTAGCCAATCTGTGGGATTGTTCAGTCAGATATCCTCAGTTATCCTGATTTGTGACATAAAATGTCATGTTGGAGTCGGAATCCAAGGTTGTCGGTATGTTAAGGCTGTTTTTCATGGGTTCTGCACTCAGAAAAAATGCTTTTGTGTTTGGTGGAAAATACGACATCTGATACGTAACAGCGGCGACTTGATTCACTTCTTTCATTTGCCTTTAAAACCAACTTTTAAAAAAACATATGCTCTCTACAGCCTTTGATACAATTTCAACTGCTGGGTGTTAAAATTAATGTCACACAGATTCTTTTGGACACACCGATGTCTAAAGCAGTCTGGGCTTCAAGCCAGATGCTGTATTTCTAACTTAAGGTCTAACTTAATATAAAATATCTGAACTGCTTTTGTGTATGAACTGTTGGCTGGTCTCCATTTTAAAAAGCATAAGAACTACTTGTTTAAAATTAGATCACAGGATTTCAAATAAGTTCCATTATTTGTTACAGACATCGTATTAACTTCAAAAACGACCAATATGTAAAAAATAAAACGTCACCCACCAACAAAGAAAGTGAGTTTTCTTTTTATGAAGCCTGCAGTGAAATGAAGTCGTCGGCTGTCACGTCTGCAGCGGCAAGCTGGTCACAGCGGCCACGTTTTCAATTCAACAACATTGTTCTCCTTTAAAGAAACCACTGCTTTTGTTCTTTTTTTTTTTGCACCGAGGAGTTTCCTATCAAAACAGTTGAATTGCTTTTTCATTACGTACAAATGTCAAGCCCAGCAAATACGACACGAGGCGGGGAGCTGATTGCGGCAGCTGCCCCTGCACGCGGGGACTCGACAACACAGGAATAAACATTTCTCTGTTGCTTTGTCCTGTTTGCTTAATTAACCTGCCTCGCTGCTATCTCTCTGAAGGAGGGGGGACAAGAGCAGCAGCCACGAGACGAGCTCTCACATCTGTCACTGCGACACACAACGCAATTAAAAGTTAATAGACGCCGACAAAAGCAAGGGAAAAGTACACTTTTACCCTTTCTTCTCCTCTTCTCTCACCAGAGGGTTTGTTTACCGAAGCCTTTGAAGTCCCCCCTCACCACCACCACCATCCCCACCACCACCACCCTCCTCTGCTGCCACCTCTCTCATGTTGGCTCCTTGCATTTCCTGACAATGTGATGCAGGTACACAATATTGAAGATGAGCAGTCACGGCGCCACTGAGGAGGCTGCCGCGCAGGTGAAGTCAAAAAATATTCATTTCAAATTGGATTTTCCCCTCCGTTCGCTATCTGCTGAATTGTATTAGTACACGGGGCTGAAAGCGACGCGCGCTGAGGGAGGGCCCGGCCGCCGCGCGCCGCGAAAAAACTATCGAGACCGTTAGAGAGGAACCGAGCGCACATCAAATCAATTCCAGCAGGCGAGGGGAAGCAGGCGAGGGTTGAGGGCTCGGTGACACATGCCTCTCTGACGGGGATTACTTCCCTGCCCTCCTAGACGCGCTTCCACCTTTTTAATCTGATTTAGCTTGGCGGCACATGCATATTACTGTGAATTACCGGAGATAGGTGTGACGAAAGGCTCGATGAAAGCCACAGAAGAAGAAGAAGAAGAAGAAGGAGGAGGAGGAGGAGGAGGGCGACTCTGACTTTTTCTGAGGTAACTTTTCAGATGGTAGGCACTTCCTGTCAGGAGGTTTTTTGGGAAATCTTGATGCCTCCATCGGCTGATGTTGTGTTAAACGACTTCCTCCATGTGCGATGTGTTAGGACGTGGACACCGGATCCCCGCTGAGGTGTCGCTCGGGGCTAATTCACCTCCACGTTCGAAGCGTGACCAACGCTATTAGATTTGTCCGCATTACATCTGATACATTTTCACATGTTGTTCATATAAACGTTCACATTTTCACAGCGACCTCGCCTGTGTTTGAGGTGCGTTCAGGAGGTGTGACTTTCTCAGGTTTACTTTTTAAACGGTTTCATGTGGACCGGGTGGACATCTGATCAGTGTTTACACTCAGAGAATTTGGTTTAACAGTGAAACACATCTACTATGCTGTCAACCCGTCCATTCATCCGTTTTCTGAATCCGCCTACGCTGTGCAGGGTCACAGAGGGGCTGGAGCGTATCCCAGCATGCACTGAGGGGGAAAGAAAGAGTACAACCTAGCTAGTTCATTAGCAGACAAAGCAAGTTCGAGCTAGTTTGGCGCTACTTGGGTTCCCTGAATGCAACGGGCCAAAAACTGGTGGTCTTGTATAACCAGTGCTATCAAGCTGGTTGCTAACTGGCTCTTAATTCCAAACCAGTCATACATAATGTGAACAGATCAAGAGCACATACTTTAATACCACAAAAAATTAAAACTGTAAAATCTGTGGGACAATGGAAATGTGCAATTTATGGGTCTTATTAAAAAAAGGTAGCAGAGTGAGGTGTAGGAAATGTTCAGAAAACTGATTTGTGCAGGTGTCAAACTCTAAAAACATTAAAATTACTACTTTAAAGCTTGACAAAAAACAGTCTCATCTAAATGTTGCAATTATAGTTTACTTGAAGCTGTTAGAAAATGATGTGAAAAATATGATATTGACTTGACAACAACAGTGAAGATTATAGAAGCAATGCATAGACAAAAAGTTAGCGCTGATCATTGCAGTCAATCAGACCACTTTCTCTATATTAATAGCAACAAATCAAATCTGTGTGAACTCACTCACTAAATATCTGATACTTTAGGATGAAGTTATGATTTGTGAGAAAATTCAGGATTAAGTCATTGTCCATCCATCCATCCATCCATCCATCCATCCATCCATCCATCCATCCATCCACCCATCCATCCATTATCTACCACCAGTCTATCACAGGGCTACACTTAGAGACAGACAACCAAGCACACTCACATTCACACCTACGGACAATTTAGAATCACCAATTAACCTCAACATGTTTTTGGACTGTGTGGGAGGAAGCTGGAGAACCTGGAGAGAACCCACGCTGCACGGGGAGAACATGCAAACTCTACACAGAAAGATCCCGGGTGTCCTAACCGGGACATGAACCGGGGATCTTCTAGCTGTGAGGCGACGGTGCTAACCACCTCACCACCTTGCAGCCCTTTAGTCAATATATGGGTCAAACATATTTTTACCGCAAGTTATTAAGTACTTAGTCGCCACTTTCACTTCTTCTCATGTGTGAACTGCTCCATTAAAAAATACAATATCTTACAGGTATGAACTGGAATCACTGTCCTCTGTGAGGCCACTGAGGTCAATCCAATACGAAACACCCCGTACAAAAATAAAGGTGCTAACTGGAAACAGAAATGGTTCTGCCCAGTGACGCCACAGAAGAACCATTTTTAGCTCCACAAGAAATCTTTCAGCGAGACGTTCCTTAAAGAGCCACTTCTTCATACGATTCTTTAAAGAACTCCCAAACATGCCTCAAAGAACCCTCAAAAATGGCTCCTCTAGGCACAATAAACGGTGCTCAGGAGTACTTCAGCAGGTTATTTTGTTTCCTCGTTAACTACTGCCTTAATTACTCTGTTTTGATTTTACTTTCAACATCATTTAATGTCCTCAATGACTCCTTGAGATGTAAATAAAGGTTGAATGAATACTTAACCATTTTTTTTCGAGATGCGTAGTTTGGTTTTAGTTTGTTTGAACTTTTACGCTAAAAATTAGAGAATTTACACCATTTCTGGGTCTCTTCCCTTAAAATATATTTGGGTTCTGGACTGTTGGCCAGATAGAACAACATATTAGAACGTGCCAGCTTGAGATTTGGGTGATTGTGACAGGCATTTGTTACTGCTGTCTGAAGCTTTACAGACCCAACATAGTAATTATTGAAATGATTGGTTAATTGCAGCTCTAGTTTTATGTAATTACAAGTCACCAAAACAAATAACAACCTTTAGTACCACATAAAGTACATGGAGAACCATCCCCTAAATACAAACGCTCTTCAATCAGCGATGGCGCTTTGAAGTCTTTCTCAGAACCATTATTGTTGGAAGAGCACGAATCTTTTCAGGAGTCTTTAGATCACTGACCTCCAGGATGAAGACGGGCAGCTGGGTGAGCTCCTCCGTCACCGCGGCGTGATACTCGGTCTGGCTGAAAACGGGCGCCTCGTCGTTGCGGTTGACCACGTGAACCACCACCAGCGTCTCGTTCTCCCACTTCCCATCGGAGGCGACCAGCCGGAGCTCGTAGCGCTGCTCCATCTCGTAGTCGAGCGGCTGGGCCACGAAGATGGTGCCCACCTCGGGCTCCACGTCGAAGGTGCCCATGGTGTTTCCAGAGGTGATCTGGTAGCGCAGTTTGGCATTGGCGCCTGGATGGAAGAAATGGAGGCACTGGTTAGCTTGTGTTTGTTTTTGTTGTTGATTCTTTGTACTGAGTTGATGCCACTGGTCAGCTTTGGAGGTAAATGCAGAAAATTTAGATTTTTTTGGGTTTTTTTTTTACGTTTGCTTTTCAATTAAGACTAGTAAGTTCTGTGTTGAAATAAGCAAAAAAAAGAAGAGTTTTGTGTGCTGCTATGATTAGATTTAGCATTTTTAGTGCTGCATTTTTGTGTAGTTTAAAAAAGAAGAAAATATATAAAAATGAGATTGAAGTTAAAATGGCAATTTTCGCTTGAGATTTTCAAATCTCACTGTGACCTTGAGAGAAACTTTTTGCATTTCTAAATTCTTCCAACTGTCTCTTATGCACAGAGCCCAAGGTTGTTCATTTTGGATCACAGTTGTGGAACTGATTGAATTTGTATATTTTTTCCAGATGAAATTAAAAAAATAAATAAATTAAAAATAGAATAGTGCTGAAGGGGTTAATGGAAAATGTACAGATTACTGAGTTGCCAGTTTTTTTTTTTTGTCACTGCAACTGTCACATTTCTCAGAAAAGGCACCCGACAGCACAACACACAAGGCAGGTCATGAGAGGTTACAAAAAAAAAAAAAAGGAGCAGGAAGGCAAACAAACACGGGAGCCGGCAGGAGCAGAAACCAGCAACACAGGCAAGGTCAAAAAAACAATCAGGATCAGACGGGCTGGCCAAGAACAGAGCGAAAAGCAAGGCACATGGCACGAAGACGAGACGGGGAGGCTGGGAGGGCATCCGCTGTGGGGGCTGGTTAGCAGGTGAGGAGGGGCGGGTCAGAAATAAAACAGACTGAATGAAAGAACGAAGGACAGAAAAACCCCCAAAAGTCTCTTTTTTAGAAGGTTTTGAGAGAGAATGATCAGGGAGTCATTTAATATGATTTAAGGTGAACATTTGAAACATGTGGTACACCGAATTATAATAAACACACAGTAGCATCCTGTTTAATCCAGCGTATCTGAAACTGAGCCGTCTGATTGTGAAAATCTAATTTCTGAATGATATTGGAGTAGATTTACCAGCAGAAAAAAAAAAACCCTCCACACAAATGTTTGATTGGCAGCAGACACACACAGACTGATGACCCTGTGTGGACAGCAGCAACAAATATGAAATATTTGGGAGGAAAACAGGCGTGGGGCTCACAGTGGGGCTCATTAGGCGCCTCGCTCTCCTCCACCCTTCCTCTATCTCACACACAAACACAGTTTCCATCACGTTGCACTGACTCCACTCCATTTCCCGGAGACTTAACATAACCTAAACTCAACCTTAAAGCAAATCCATCACCCTAAAAATTATTGATTTACACTTTGTTTGTGTGTAAACAGCCACGGTCCCACAAGATGAGTAGCACAGTTGTGTTGCGCTGAAACCCTCCCCAGCCCTTCTCCTGAGGTAGCGCCTGGCTAGATGAGATATATATTGTCTCCGGGTCCACCCCAGGGGTCTCCCACCTGTTGGACGTGCCTGGAAAACTACTCCTGATCTGAACCAACACGACGGGGCGGGGGGAAGCAGATCTACTACTCCGAGTTCCCTGCAGACGTCTGAGCTCCGTCTCTATTTGTGAGGGGGGGAAACTCATTTTGTCCGTTTGCGCCTGTGACCTCATTCTTTCGGTCACAGGTGAAGGTTGGAACGTACGTCGACTGGTAAAGCGTTGCCTTCGGGCTCAGCTCTCTCTTCACCACAATGCTTTTTTTTTTTTGCATTACCGCTGACTCCGTCCGTCACTCCAGTTTAGCCTCACTCGTAAACAAGACACCGAGATTCTTAAGCGCCCCTCGCTCGGGACTCACTTTGACACCTTTACGAACTTTAATTTCTTTATATTCTGTCTTTTGCTCACCTCTCTCCCCACCAGCTTTGATCTCCTACTTTTTTTTCCCCCTCCTCTGCTCCTTAAGGGCTGGTCACAACAAAAAAGAAAAATGTCTGACAACAAAAGGATATTCTGAAAGGATTATAAACAAAACTAACTAATAGTTCTGTTTTCTTGCTATTTTTTTTTGGGTATAAAGTTCACTGAAGTAGAATTTGGCACACTAAAATCGTTTTTCCTCAAAAGTGAATCCACCAACTGGGACGACTCGAAAGTGAAATCGCTGTAAAATGCATCTGCTTCAAATGTTGTTGTGACGACTTCTATAACCTCAATCTTTCCTCTTCTCCTTGCTGTCCAACCATTTCCAGTCTCTTCTTCTTTTCTATCCTACACATGACTGTCTTCTTCTCTTCTTTATTTTATAATTAGGCCTCAATCTTTCCTTGTTTCCTTTATTCTCCTTCGTACACCTCCTTCCCAAATCCTCTTGGCTTCTTCTGCCTTTTTTTGTACACTTATGCTGAACATCTGCCTTCATCTCTCCTTCCAACCTCTCCTCTCCCTTTAGGTCCTGCATCCTTTCTTCTCTCCTGGCCTTTGTACTCCATATGATCTTTCCTCTCCTCCCTCCATTCGTCCATCCATCCTCTACTCTGCTCATCCATTACAACCCGTCTTGTTTTTGCATTTTTAGATTTTTCCTCCTCATTCTCTCTCTTCCATCTCTCCTCTTCCTTTCCTCCCCTGGCCTCCCCTCTCCTCTCCTCTCCTCTTCCTTCCTGATGAAGTGAAGTAACGCCAACACACACATGGACTTGGTAAACACACACACACACACA